GCTTTCAAAGTCTCTACAGGGTCACTCTTAAGAAAATGTGAAACAAATGTGATTCTAAAATAAATACTTGCAATCAGAAGGTCCTTGATATGATTATAAATACTTTATGTTGAGATGTCACGGTTTTGTTTCAATTATATAAAAACATTACATTACCAATAGAATAAAAAAATTCCCAGAATACCTCCCATTTTTTCTTTCATTTTTTGCAGCTTACATATTAAGAAATTTGCCATTTTCTTGTCCTTCTTAATCCTTCCTTTTTTTCTTCCTCCTTTTTCCTGAATGCCAAACATGTGTTAAAATAATAATGATCTTTAAATAGAAAATTTATAGCATCAACCACTTCTTTTAGAAGGTTCTAGAACATAGCAAGGATCATTTTTAGCATCGGGAACAATTTCTGATGCTCTATCATAGAGTGACAAAGCATATCAAAAATTTGTCTCATGCTGTATTATGTGCAAATTTATTTTTGGTGACTATTAGATCCATAGAAAGATACATGGCTTAAAATGTGTCACTCTGTAACAACTGGCCTTATGATATTTGCATCAATTATATAAAATATAATACATGTTTGTCAGCATGTATGGATGCTAGGGACCTTGTACCTAGGGTTAGAGTACATATAAAACAGTCATGATATCGTGATGAAATGTATAATGTGTGTAGAACTTAGAGCTGGAAGGTCTGGGTCCTAGTTCCAATCCTCTCACTTACTACTTGTGACCTTGGTCATGTCACTTAACCTCTGTGAGCCTTGGTTTCCTTGTTTAAAAAATGGGGATATTTTTAGCTCCCACAAATAAGTGAGAACATGTGGTATTTTTCTTTCTGTACCTGACATATCACTTAATGTAATTTATTCTAATTCCATCCATGTTGGTGCAAATGGTAGTATTTCATTCTTTTTTATAGCAGAGTAATATTCCATTGTGTAGATATACCACATTTTCCGTATCCACTCATCTGATGATGGATATTTGAGCTGGTTCCAACTCTTGGCTATATTTGTAGGAGCTAAAAATAAATAAATAAATACACAGACAAACGGGGGGGGGGTGGCAGGAAGAAGACACAACAATCATAATTCCTTGAAGTTGTTAAGACAAGCAAACAGATATAATGTTGATGGGTGGGAATAGGGAGAGGGAGCAGGGGGGAAAGATTTGGTAAAGGGACACAAAAATCAAACACATTGTATATTGATAAAATTAAATTAAATTTTAAAAAAATGGGAATATTACCTCCTATTTCAAATGTGTTGTTGGGAATTTTGTTACTTGTTCATATTCTATTTCATTCCACAGATGATTTGAAATGACATGCATGTTTTCGAAGATAAAATAAAATGTATTTGCCAGTCTTTGTAGATAATACAAACATAAACCACGTACCACCACTATTGGGGCCATTTGGATCCCTGGAGGTTTACCTCTTAGAATGAAAGTGCTTCTAAGCAGATGTTTCAGAGACTTCCATTTAATAATTTCAAGTAAAACAAATATTTAGCCATGTGCAACATAGACTGGTTATAGGTACCAACTTAAAATATGACTATAAGAAAGAAAGACTTTTTTAATTGAAGACCATTTGCAACTAATAAAATATTAGACTTACACACTTAATGCCTATTGAAACGAACATACATAATGACAAAACTCTTAAGGATTAAGTAACTCTTTTTAATATTGTGTTTTGTTAGTAACAACAAACATGTACAAACATTGAGAAAGAGGAGAACTCACAGGTGTGAGTCATTTTTATTCATGTTAAGGAAATGTTTTTGCTGCATTTAAAATTGGTGGATACCTCACAATAGCACAGAGCCTTTGAAATATTAGTGGCCTACTAGTTCCTTCCTCTAATTCCTTTTGTTATCATGTGCCATTTGCCTTAATCTTGGGTTGGTAAGTGTTCTTATCTGCCCTCTGCATCTAAAGCCTCCAGAAAGATTGCTCTGGCATGGCCTAATAGCGTTTATCAGCTCACCCAGTGGCTCTTATTCTTCGATGCTTGAAACCCAGGAGTTAACCACATGGTACAAACCCCTTCTGAACAAGTCAACTTCTTTCTTCTGTAAATGATGACTGTTTATGCCAAGGCAGCTGAGAGAACTTCCCAACCCCTTCCCTTTGTCAAAATGACATGGAACCTAAGGACAGAAGCTAGTAGCTTTTTTGCCATGCCCCATCCAATTCCCATTGCTTAATCTGATGCAATTAGGGAGAAATCATCGAGTATGTTATCCATTGCAACAGGATTAGACCTTCTCTCACTTTTGTCTTATATTTTAAGCTCTTGTGATTTACCCCTAAAATTTAATAATCTATTTCAGCTTATCTGACAAGCATGCTTACTTTCCCCCCTTTTCTATAAAAAGTTGTCTAAGGAAATTTACTAAGTGAGCCTTCGTCTTCTTTAAAATAACAAATAATTAAAAAAACATCTATTTCCTAAAGAGTGAAACTATTTGAAAGCATTCACTTTGCATTACAGTTCATGTTACACAGAAAAATAATAAAAATCATTAAATAAGTTTTTTCTCTCCTTTACAGTATGTAAAATTACAGTGTCAGTGAATGTGCAGTCTTGATAAGAGCTTTCCAATAAGCTTTATATTCAATAACTATGATTTCCCTAAAAATTAATAGTTAGAGTTTAGGGACCCACACACATGAAAGAGAGAGAATATACATTTGTGTTATACATAGCTGATTTCAAGGTATAGTATATATGCAGCTGAAGTCTGAGGTGTATTCTTGAACAGTTGTTTAAACTCTTGAAGGCTCCATTCGCTCGCATTTAAAATGGTGCTGATGTTCCTAACTCACAGGATTTTCCAAGAATAAAATGAGGCAAATATATAAAGTGCCTAATAAAATGTTGAGCACGTAGCAGTCCAATGACAGCAGCAGCTGCTGTTATTTTTGTTATTAACAAACTGAGAAAGAAGTGAAACTAACCTAGAAAGTTGGAGTTTCCGGGATCTCTTCTTCTTAGATCAATTTGGAAAACCACCCTCAGAGAGACCATAATGTCCAGGCAGGGAACAGGCAGAGAGGCTGACTTGGAAGAACTGGGCTGGGAGGCTAAATTCTATGCTGGGAGCGCCACAGTCCCAAATTTCAGACTATTTCTCTTTGCTATTTTGCAGCATCACATGGTGTGACAGCACTACCTGTCCTGGGCAGGTTAGGCTGCTTCACTGCACTTAACCATAAGTCACCTCACTTTTTATTAATGGAACTTTTACACACCCAAATCATATGCTTACAAGAAATGGAGTCTTTTTCTCTCCGTCTTTCCCTTTCTGTCTCTCTCCTCCATGGAAAGAATTTACTGCCCATTTGGGGATATTTTAAAACTGAAAGGATTCAAATTTACAATAATACAGAGAGTGGTTGACGAGCTGCGTATGCACCTTCACATTCTCCTTCTTACCCATTAGCATTTACATATAGCATTTCTTTCAAAGAAACAGAATTCATCTTTAATTTGCTTTATGCCATTCACCCCTTTGAACTGAATATGCCCAGTGATTTTCTTGGCTTAAATTTAGCATTTATCAATCACATCTAGCAATGCATGTTATGGTGTTAACAGGAAATTCCATAGGACCCTCTTCACACTGGGGAAGGGGAACATCCGCTACTTCCACAATAGATGCCAGGATTTAGAGGTCAATGTGTTTCCCCATCAGGCTTAAGGCTTTGGGGGTGAGGGGAAGTGTCGGGCTCCAAACAGCATAATGAATGGCAGTTGCTGCTGACTAGGTTTGCCTGTTCTCAACAGGGGATATTGCTGTTCAGCATAATGATTTGGGACTTAGTGTGCTAAACACACCCAGCTTGGGTAGTGAGGCTGGCTGTGCCTTTTTTTTTCCTTCCTAGTTCTGAACTGTGTTTTCATTTTGAAAAAAAATTATATTGAGGTCTTCCTTAGTGGCACCCAGCAGGGTGAAGTCTCCATGAGGACTGATAAGCACTATGGCTAAAATACAATCAGCCTTTGTGCAGAGAGTTGAAGGTTTAAGTTGCCTGAAGTGGAAAGAATCTGAAGAGGTGATTATGTTAAGCAAGTAATGTGTATCTGTAACATGGAGTCAGATTATTAGGGTCAGTAGCTTCCTGGCTTTCCCAGTGCATTAAATGAAGATATAACATTGCATTTGTGCCAGGTACTTCTTGATGCCACATAGTGTCAGCACTGCCTGGTCATCTGTACTTCACAGCATGTCACCTCTAATTTCATAGGATTATCTGTGCTGTTGCTTTATGAGATACTCATGATCTTGAACTTCCTTTGAACTCACAGCAGGGCAGTGCAAAGTCATTATTGTGAACACTTTTGTGCTTCTTGTGTTATACGCAAAATTATTATTGCCATCATTTAGAAAGGTAGCTATACCCCAGCATCATGCTTCCAAAAGTCTGCACTTATTTGCTGGTAATGGAAGCTACTGAAGGGGAAAACACTGAATGTGAGAAATGTTTCAAGGACTAGTGTCAGAAAGGTGTCAAGGTTGTGAATTAGTATTAGAAAGGTATATAGGACAGTAGTTCTCAAAGTGTGGTCTCCTGGACTACAGCATCAGAATCACCTGGGAACTTGTGAGAAATGCATATCCTACTAAATCAGAAACTCTGGGGTGAGACTCAGCAGTCTGTTTCAGCAAGCCTTCCAGGTAATTCTGATGCATGCTCACGTTTGAGAAACCCTGCTATAGCATTTATGGAGTACAAGGATGGGATAGGTCCATATGTTCTGGGGGTATAGCAGTAGACTAGATAAAGTGTCTGCCCCTGTGGATCTTATTAAATTGCAAAGGAATGTGTGGTACTTCACCCTGATGAAATATTTATACATACCCCATAGAGCCTATAATGATCATAGATATCTGTATATTCTGCATTTGAATTAACCTGTTATTTCCCTTTGTACCAGAGAATGATTAACAAAAGATAACTAATGAGTGATTCATTTGTGCATTTCAGAACCATCCCCCTTGCAATTTGTATATCCATGGTCATTGTCACCACTGGCTATGTGCTAACAAATGTGGCCTACTTTACCACCATTAGTGCTGAGGAGCTGTTGCTTTCAAATGCAGTGGCAGTGGTGAGTCCAAGTTGGGAAAATGCCAATTTGAATTTAGGTTAATGAGTTGATGCAATTTTATAGTAGCTCCCTCCAACAGAAAGTGTTTTGAAATTCAGTAATCTTTTCTTGAGCTGAATGGTAATGGATATTTTAAATATTTAGAGCACACCTTAGCCTATTCCATTTAACTAATAAAACTAAAATCCCATATGATTTCTTTTTATTTTTAATCCCTTGTAAAACATTTCCACATATACATGTTTGATAAATCTGTTAAAGTTTATTGAGTAGAAGGCATTATTCTTCCAACATGTATTTAAGTACAGGTGGACCGTTACTGACAATAAATAATGCATTTTTGGGTACGAAAATTATAATTTATTCTTTCCTATTTATAAACTTTTCAAATTCTAATTTAAAATTCTTTTCCCAAAATATCACTTAAGAATTTTTATTTGGAGCATATACATTTTTCTAGTATATCCTTTCAAATACTAGTTCTGGAATATTTATAAATTTGGGAAATACTGAGTTATTCAAAGTTAAACAGATGTTATTGCTGTATTAGTTCAGAATATTGAAGTTGCTAATGTGCATTTTAACTCCCTAAGAAGTAGATACACATAATTTTACAGTATTTTAAAAAATGTATTTGACAACAGTACCATCTTTGTCCCTAAAGATCATGTTATAGGACTGTTATTCGGTGACACACACTTTTATTTTGCATAAAATCTTAGCTAGTAAGAGAGCACATTCATTCATGACCTCATAACAATGAAGGGTGAAAAGTTAACTTCAGCACTGGGTGTCAATTCCTTTTAAAATAGTCGGTATTACCTCATATCAGCAACTTCCACAGGAAATACATTATCTCATTTTGTGTGAACCTATGTACGAGTTCACTGTATTAAAAAAGTCTTTGCCCATTGCTGTAGGTCCTACCAGACAATTAAATGTACGAAGCTTGCTGATGTCAGGTCAGTCGTCTCATCTTCCTAGACAAAGGGCAGCACTTATTCTTTGGGCATAATGTGGTCCATTAATTACATAGCATCAACTGCATCAAGGACAACTAAAGAACCCCACATATTTTTTTTTTTGAAAAATACATCCTTCATAGAAATTTGTAATGTTGCACACACCATGTCATAAAAGGAACTTTCAGAAGTTTTGTTTATCTTTTACATATTCTTTGGCTTGTTAGAGACTTGTGCAGTGTTTGTGTTCTAGCCTTTTTGTGGGAAACTATGAAGGAATTGGCACATACCTGAGTGGGAGAAAGTGACTCCATAAACAGAGGTTCAGCTAGTGTGATTTTTCTGGGAAAATGATTTTCAGGGATGCTCATATATAAATGACTAAGTCATCAATTATTTGATTTATCCCTTAAGAGTGAGATTGCTATATGAAACGAGTATCTGTGATACTTCTCAGTGTACATTTGCACTTCACTATAACAATGTAGCTTTCCAGGGTAAAGAGAGAGTATCATGCAGGATTTCTGTCGCCAAAAGTAGAATTTCTGAATTGAGCTTTTTCCACTTACCAGAGTCAGAGACAATGCATACCATAGTTGATAAAGATTCAGTAAATGGATCACTGCTTTTTGAAAGTAGAGAGAAGGTGCTTGTTTGGACCTTCACCCATAGTTTTGCAACAAGCAATGCCATGGTACCTGCTCTTGATGATTTATTGTCTATGGAGTTAGACTGACCCTACCCAAAGAGAAGGATTACAAAACATACGCGTATCACCAGGCTAATAGAAAGTCATAGAGCAAGTTTGGCCTAAATTGTTTCATTTTATTCCACTTTCTAGCAAAGCATTAATTTGCTTTGTTCTTTCTTTCACTAGACCTTTTCTGAGCGGCTACTGGGAAATTTCTCATTAGCAGTTCCGATCTTTGTTGCCCTCTCCTGCTTTGGCTCTATGAATGGTGGTGTGTTTGCTGTCTCCAGGTGAGTGAGTTCATGTATTTCCAGAAACACATTTCTGTTTTTGAGATTGGATGCGATAAGGATAACTTTAAGAAGAAAAGAAATAGTGCTTCCAAACCTGTTTTTTTTAAAGGGACATGCAAGATTGAAGTGTTGGTTCGAGTATCAACAGCATAGTTTATTCTGCCCATTAGAGGGCACTGCTTGTCTACTCATAGCCCACTCTGAAGGCCCGTGGCATTTTTAATAGTATGTCTACAGAGTCTAACAACAGTATTTTATTTCTGGTGATAAAATCTTTTGTTTCTCTAGAGGTGCCAAGAAAAATGTAAAGTACAAGACTCCAGAAATCACCACCCCACCCTCTGTGTCTCCTTTGTTTGGTTTGATGCAGTAGTCCCTTTTGTTTTAATATGATAAGATTAAAACCCAATCAAATAAATATGAATGCTCTGTATATGTGTATTTGTTGTATTTTATTGACAATACATATATGATACTAAGAATCTGGAACTAAATTCAGATTATACATAAATAATCAGCTGTTTATATGTAGGGAGAGCTATGCTGAGTCAGATAAAGCCATTGTTTCTCCTCAAAAAAATAATATACTATGTGGGCAGATTTTGTAAAATTTGAATTCAGATTTCTTATGATTTTCTCTACCTTATCAGAAAAGTGAAGCCTAAGTAATCACCTAAGAAATGATAAACCATTTTTTATGAAAAAGATGAAAGTTTTCTCTCGGATTTCTGAATTTTCCCTTTGAAATTATCAATTTTATCACATTTTTCTCCCATCAGGTTATTCTTTGTTGCATCTCGAGAGGGTCACCTTCCAGAAATCCTCTCCATGATTCATATCCGCAAGCACACTCCTCTGCCAGCTGTTATTGTCTTGGTAATGCATACTAACAAGTATATCTATATATATAAACTCAAATAACAGGTTAGCAAAGAGTAATTCAAACCAGACTTTAGATAGTGCTTTATGTTCTTATTCACCGAGAAATCGGTTCTATGTGTGAGTATGTCACGGTAGAATCTGGGAGGCAGGATATTTTCCATCGCCTCCCTTTACTCAGTGTTTCTGATTTGTATTTGATGCTGTGGAGGCAATAACTGCATCATTTTTTTTTTTTTTTTTTTTTTTACCTTTGTAGAACTTTGTGAGGACTAAGGAAAATGTTTAGCTCGGCTCCTCTCATTGACAGAGAGCTTCACAGAAAAGAATGTAGAGTAATAAGTCCCAACTACTTACTGAAAGTGGAGCTGAAAGCTACAGTCCAAAAATACCCAGACGTCTCATCATGGGCCTTTATAATGAAATGCACACAAAATCATTCAAAGAATCGACGAAATCCTAGACAGTGCAATGATTCTGTGATTAAACGTGAGACAATTGAGAGCACCCTACAGGAAAGAAAGAAAAGAACTAACACTTCGAGTTGTAGAATTCTTTAAGCAGAGAAAAAGTTTGGGAAATGTGGGATACAAAAGACTGTCTACGGTGTAAAAATCCTCAAATACCTATTGGCAATGTTATATTCATTTTTACCTACGATTTTGTAGCATTTTTCTCAACTGGAATCT